ATTTGGTTTTTATATCTTAGAGTCCACTAAATTAGTTTTTTATAACTTAGCGTCCACTAGAGAGGAATATAGTCAGTAGTCCTACCCGATTTGCAAGTAAGAATTATTTAATACGCACTTATCTGCACTGCACTTTCACTTCCTTTTTTTTTTTGACGTATATATTTCACTTTTATTTTACCCGCACATCACTATTTTTTTTTTTTCACATTTTTACTTCACTGATGCCGTAGATTATGTTGCACCGTCATACGATGTCCTCGCTTTTTGCATCACGGCGGCCGCGACGAAAAATGGAAGAGCGCAGGTTTTGCCGATGTATTTCCTGCTGCATCCAGCGCCTATGACACTTCCTATACATTCGGTACAGGAAAGCAAGTAGACCAACTCCCAGAACCAATGCGATTACCGTCAGAATTATGCTAGCGGTGCTTAGATGAAACTTTATTTCCTCAAATGATGCCTGGTTGGACCCACCGATCGCGTTTTGGACGACAACTTTTTCTTCATATTTTGACTTTGAGGATCCCATATTGACAATTTTCGATGTACCTATACGACAGTACTCAAGTGTACTACGATTGAGTCTAAATTGTTCATCTTGGTAACAACTAAAGTTTACTTATTGTTTTACATTCTTATACCAAAACAGTTCAGACTCCTGCGCGATAGGTATCACATACGCGACACTCGTATGACACCTTCTTTTGGCAGGGTCGCCATGTACGGTAGGCGTACGGGAACGAAGTGAAACGAATGACTGCTGAGAATATACTGTGTTTTATTAATGAAATATAATTAACTTATACACTATTAGGATACAAAGATTATGATAATAGAGGGGACACTACACTCGAAATCAATCGAGCGTCCTCGAAATCAATCGAGCGTCCTCGTACACTTTCGAGCGTCCTCGAAAACTATCGAGCGTCCTCGAAATCAATCGAGCGTCCTCGAAATCAATCGAGCGTCCTCGTACACTTTCGAGCGTCCTCGAAAACTATCGAGCGTCCTCGAAAACTATCGAGCATCCTCGAAAACAATCGAGCGTCCTCGAAATCAATCGAGCGTCCTCCAGTGCCTTTAGCCAAACGCCACTTTAGCGCAAGTCTACGCCATCGCGAAGGACACACCGGGCGTTGGGGATCGCGAGACGATCTCCGGCCACCGTAAGCGCGGGCCTGCGGACGGCGAGCATGGGTGGCTTCCCGTCCGACCAGAAACAGACCCGAGCGGACGGCGCGTCGCGTTTCGCGCGCCTCAAAGAGCCATCAGACCACCACAGATGGGGCCCAATAGGGCCGGTGCCGATTCGGAGTCGCGGAGAACCTAACGGGTAACCGGGGCTCCGGCACGACGTGCAGGAGAAGGAATGGGGTGGTTTTTAGTCAGTAAGAGTCTGACACTCCCTCCCGCCTCACCCAGGTGGAAGCAGTCATTCGACGATTTTCCCCCTTAAAAAAAAGCGCTTGTCTACAGAGAGATTACAAAACTAAATGTATAGGGATGACACTGACAATTGTCAAAAGAACAATGGCGAGATTATACCTGGATTGTTTTAGAAGCGTCTATAAACGAGACCTATGAAAAACGTAATGAGGTAATTAAATTGATTTTTATACGATTTTAGTTTTAAACGTAAAAGCCTCAGTATTTATAATGAGAAATAAGTTATTAATTGTATTTATATCCGGTGCTAGTTTTGGTTGATGTTTGTTAGAGTTACCATTTATAAAAAAAAATATAAAAAGTATTAAGTCGAAAAAAAATGTTTAAAGTCGTGTATAAACCAACAATACCCAAAAATAAATCATTGTAATGTTAAACAACATATAAGAATTGGTTAGATTTGTTATTTTGTGAAAGAAGTCGCGATTTTATATATTTATTTTGATATCACAATCATCATTAGTAGTAATTAAAAGAAAATGTAATGGCAACACTAAGTGGTACTGTCAAATGTCGTAATAACTTCGTTATTCACAAAGCTTGCTTTGGTATAATATTGTTCTTGTTCTTTTCGTCGTTTTTTCGTGAATTATCTGTAATTTTGACCCTCGCATTGCCCCTGGACTTGATTCGCTGCGACTTTATACGACGACTTTTGCTTTCTCACGGACGATCTGCGCTATAAGTACACTATAACTGTTGCTTTTCCAAAAAGGACTCGATTGTTTCTCAATTCTTTTGTGAAGATGCGAAGTAACAGGCCTACACGCATTTTGTGCGCGAATTGCAACATTTGCGTCAATACCCTTCGGCGATATCGGATCTTAGATCAAAACACAAGAGTGTGTACCATGATCTGCAACTGGGTTTATCCACAAATCGTAAGTTTTTAAACTATAATTTATAAGAATATTTCGTAGCTATAACTTTTTACTGCAGAAAAACCATCTTCAGATCGTGTACGACTCGATATTGACCAGTAATTTATTATTGTACTGCTTGCAACTTCAGTAAGACTGTCTTTATGTTAAACCATTCTATAATAACACACAATAGTCCCATTCATTTTAGTCAAAAAAGGCACAGTAGCATTTTTTCAAAGCTGTGTAAAATACTAGAAAAGTTATGGTTTTTCCTATTTTTTAGATTACCGAAGACGATTGTGTCTGTGAAGCATATTGGGAACTGTCTATGGTTGCAGTTAACCAGAATTTGCAACAAGATAGTAATAAGGCTGGACAATCTGGACCGAGTCAACGAGGACATAATTCATGTGTGCCTTCTGTGTGAATGTTCATTAGTACGAAGGCAAAGTTGTAAATACTTAAAGACAACCTAACAGGGCTACAACTGGATATGATAAATATTATTCAAATGAAAATAGAACCACGACAGGTACGTAGTTCATATTTAAACTGTCAAACACCAAGCGGTCACCGATGACCGCAACCTATTGTTCTTAATTGTGTCTATAAATACGGTACTCGACGAGTTAATTTCTATTCATTCTACCCTATTACGCTTGAATGCACCGATATGAGACAAAATAGAAAATACATTGTGTCTAGCGTAGATCACATGAAAGGTTAAATTAAATTCATATTATAAATTCCCCTAAATATAAATATATAATATATAAATATATATATAAAAATATAAATAATACTATTTAGTTTTTTTTTTAGTTTGTTACCCATCACAAAGATTGTTAAAAAAATAATAATATTACTAACTTCTTACACTTATTATAATAACTTCTTAGATGTTTTGTAACTAACATTATTTTCATTCCGTTGCAGCTAACATCATCTGGTAAGGTGTGTCATGCCTGTTGGTTGCGAACTAAGAGAGAAGCTCTTCGTATCAACCATGTTGATGAAATGAGACCACCTGAAGCAATGCCCCAAAATGAAAATCTATTACAGGATAATGAAGTTCATGAGAATCCTCGAGCTGCTAACACTGGCCGGTCAATAGGAATCAATATTGCCTGATTATAAGAGGGCAGCCAACATCAATTGGTAATTCATCGTGTGTTTTTATTCGCCTTGGGAATGTATCAAATACTTCAAGCTCGATCGTACTATGGCGAGCATATACGTTTCCATGGCGGATATAGGATTGAAGTGTGCAATGAAAATATAAATTCCTCTAAATACAATGTACTACGCAGTAAAGAAACGATTTTAATAAGAGGGAAAATAAAATCGCGTCACATTTCTAGGAAGCAGTACTATGTTAATATTTTAATTAAAAATACTACCGGCAGATCCGGTATAGTTAGTGGAATACTGCTGTAACTGTTTGGTTGGTCGGCGTACTGTAGTTTGTTGCGCACACGTGATGACCCTCGTGTGGTATCTTGGATGGGCCAGGCATTACAACAATTTATCAGCACCGGCAGGGTTCCTAGACGATATAGTAATACGAGAAGATGAATAAATGGTTCAAAATCTTGAAACCTGTTTTATTTAACCCTTAAATGCTGTTATTCATATTTCCTTATAAAAGCTTACCTTTAGCCAGGTTTTTTTTTAAGGGGGGATAATCATCAAATTACTGCTCAGGACTGTGTGAGGCGGGAGGGAGTGTTAGACTCTTACTGGTTAAAAACCACCCCGTTCCTTCTTCTGCACGTTGAGCCGGAGTCCCGGTAACTCGTTAGGTTCTCCGCGTTATGGCAGGTCTAGGCCTGCGTTGCCTAACGGCCTAATGCTCTAATTGATCTTTAAAACTTGTGAAACATAGATCCTGATTAGCCACATACCTATCGTGTGTTATAACTGTGATAGTTTTAATATTATCACGTTTTAACGTGGACTTGAATCAATCTAGGTATACCTAACGATATTTTTTTCACATCTCATTTCTTATTTTTGCATCACTGCATTAGGTACATTAAGTTTTGTAGTCTACGAAGTTACTTTTACAGTGACATAACCTCAAAATATAAAAATGTTAATATCTTTTTTTTGTGGCCTTCTTAAATTAAAATTCTCGATGATTATGCTTAAGTAATAGATCCCCTATGATTTTAACATTTTTTCGGACATAGACGCTTCAAACCGATTCCAGGTAAAGTGTTGTATGGGAACTTGCCATTGTTCTTTACGTCAATTCCATATAATTTGGTTTTATATTCTACATGTAGACAAGCGCTAAATGGAATTTGGCTACAGCTGCAGGATTGTTGCCTTGTTGGAGGGTATGTAGGAAGGAATGGGGACGTTTTTAGTTATTAGTTAGTAAGAGTCACTTCCTCAAGAGTCATTGGATGACTTTTTACCCACCCAACAAAAAGGGGGGTGGCATAATCGGTATTTGCACGCAAGCGCTCGAATAGGTAGCGGCGGGCCTGAACACTGCAATTTTATTTATCTGTATAGATAATAGTTAAATTATTTTTTATTCCTTTGACTGCCTCGTTGGTCGAGTGGTCGCAAGTGCGACTGCCGGTCAAGGGTCTCGGGTTCGATTCCCGGGTCAGGCAATTTTTGGTTTTTTGAAGTCGGGTATTTTAATTTTTCATACCCTGTCTGTCTATTCTCCAGACTGTCTCCAAACGATGACCTGCCCATCTACAACTGTTGTGCTGGAAAACTGAACAGTATTACCATGGGAGAGATGATAGCAATGGGGAGACAGATATATCCATCAGTTCCTATCAATGACATGCTTTGGACTCCTGGTGGAAGTTTGACGAAGTCGAAAACTTTACATTTCATTAAGGTAAATAAAATAAAATCATATCGTTTATTTGCTAATATGGGTTAAAGAAGCAAAATGGGTAGATAAGTAGATGCAGTTCCGACCATATTACACCTTGAGGCATGCAAATTACAAAAATTATAGCATCACAATGTTATTCGGAGAAAACTTAATACATTAAAAAACTATATAAAACTATCTACACAATTATTGTAATATAAGTGAATTCAAAATATAAAGTCACCAATTTAATTAAAAATGTAGTGTTGATAAATATAATATTTGTCGATTAAACTGTCAAACACCAAGCGGTCACCGGTGACCGCGACCTATTGTTCTTTAATTGTGTCTATAAAACCGGTACTCGACGAGTAATGTCATAAATAAAAATGTCGTACAAAGGACTGCCTCATTAGCCAAGCGGTCGCAAGTGCGACTGCCGGGCAAGGGGTCTCGGGTTCGATTCCCGGGTCAGGCAAAGTATTACTGGGTTTTTAAAAAAAAATCTCATTAGTAGCACGGAGTCTGGAATTGTGCCCGGAATGGCAATAGACTCACCCCGTATTACATGGGACTCATAACATAAATAGTGAAAAGTGGGTGTTACATTGTATAGTGGCATAATGTGCACCTCTACCTACCCCTTCGGGGATCTAAGTAGTAATTAAGATCTAAGCTATTCCTATATTGGAACAGCAACTTTTATAGTACCTATCTTTGATGATGTTTATGATTTTTTCCAGGTGATATTTCTCCATCTACTTCCAGCGATTTTAGTGGATACTATCCTTTGGGTAGCGGGCAGAAAACCAATGTAAGTAAAGACCTTAACTCAATGGGGTAGATGCCTAATTTTTGTTTCATTGTCCGTCTGGTAGATTATTTTAAATCATTCGACACGTATTTTTTATTTTCTTACAGAAACGAATACTTTCGACGATATATTGATTTGAAATGTCGCGTGACGTCACTTCTATGTACATTTTATACGTAGAAATGACGTTTTAGCCCCCACTCCCAAACTTTGATTCGTTTTATCTAAGTATTGTTTTATTATACGACAAAATAAAAAAAAATACGTGTCTAATATTTTTTAATTACCTAATTTACGGACTTATTATATTTTTAATTTTCATACCCTGTCATCATCCCAATTGCCAGAGTTTGTGTTTCCAGAACAAATATATAAATGGGATACCGAAAATCTTGTGTCCTTCCCGGTAATCGGATTTATGATCATTAGTCACTGCACGGTTGGTGCGGTGGCTGGGCTACCGGCTACCGTGCAACGTGTCACGGGTTCGATTCCCGCACGGCACAACACTTTGTGTGATCCACAAATTGTTGTTTCGGGTCTGGGTGTCATTGTGTATGTGAACTTGCACCCACGACACAGTAGGAAATCCTAGTGTGGGGCAACGTTTTTATAAAAAAAAGAAAAGAAAAAAAAAGTCATAGGCTACGCTGGCTACGATGAGCTGGAAAAACAATTATGCGAGTCGACAGAGGGCGTCCATGTTGGCGACTAGCGCTCATCGCAGACGCAAGACTCGTCGTGGCGGCGTGGCCAGCGATTTAAACTTGGGCGAACGAATCCAATCAAATCAAATCACTTGGAGAGGAGAATGAAGAGGCCATAATGTCACGGCACATTCGTCATGTGTACGTCACGCCCTCTGTCTCATATTATAGACGTCTTTCAATGACTTTTACATTCCATGGTGCTTACTCTTGAAACCAATCTCAATGGCAATGCAAATCCAATAAAATCTCAATAATTATTCAATGTCAAAATTGACTGCCTCGTTGGCCGAGTGGTCGCAATTGCCGGGTAAGGGATCTCGGGTTCGATTCCCGGGTCGGGCAAAGTATTACTGGGTTTTTAAAAAAATTCTCAGTAGTAGCACGGAGTCTGGAACTGTGCCCGGTATATGGCAATAGGTTCACCCCCTATTACATGGGACTCATAACATAAATGGTGAAAAGTGGGTGTTACATTGTACCTACAGTGGTATAATGTGCACCTCTGCCTACCCGTTCGAGGATAAAAGGCGTGATGTTATGTTATGTCAAAACTGTACAACTCCTTTCGTAGTTGTCGAAATAGCATTCAGAGTACGGAATATAAAAATTAAACTTAATACCACTTAGTTCATTCAATATCCACGTAATACGTATGCAATCAGATGGGGCCCAATAGGGCCGATGCCGATTCGGAGTCGCGGAGAACCTAACGGGTAACCGGGGCTCCGGGTCGACGTGCAGGAGAAGGAACGGGGTGTTTTTTAGTCAGTAAGAGTCTGACACTCCCTCCCGCCTCACCCAGTCATTCGATGATTTTCCCCCCTTAAAAAAAAATACGGATGCAATGGGCGCTAGTGTTGCAACTCAAGAGTACGAAATTTCGATCGATCGGAATTGGATTCAAGATTAAGCCCAGTTATAGGCCCGTCGAAATCAATTTGCATCCATTGACTTTTACTTTTATCAGGTCATCTGTCCTCCTAATCTTTTTCTGGTTGCATCATTATTAACAGTATTTTATTCTGATACACAGGCTGGTGAAAATTCAACGACGTATCTATATAGCGAATCTGGCCTTAATGTACTACATCACAAAGCAATGGACGTTTGATAATAAAAACCTGGTCCTCATGAGGTCCAAGATCAAGAAAGAGGATATAAAGCATTTTTACTATGAACTGGAAAATGTCGATCAATACAAATATTTTGTGAATGCTGTTAAAGGTGGCAAGAAGTATCTTTTAAAGGAAAAAGATGAAGATATGCAGTATGCTAAGAAACATTATGCCAGGTACATTGCTTAGATATTAGTGTGGGAGAGCCATGCTTCGGCACAAATGGGCCGGCTCGACCGGAGTGTTACCACGGCCTCACAGAAAACCGACGTGAAACAACGCTTGCGTTGCGTTGCGAAACAACGCTTGCGTTGTTTCACGTCGTGTGAGTGAGGTTACTGGAGGCCCAATTACCCCCGTCTCTAGTCTCCCGATACCCCGAATCCTCCACAATCCTCAATTGTGTTGCTGTTATATATATACATTTTCTAAATCCTTACTATAATATTATAAATCAGAAAGTGAGTTTGTTCGTTGTTTGTTTGTTTGTTCCGCTTTCACACCGTAACTACTAATCCGATTGCTTTGAATTTTTGCAGACGTAAAGTTAGAAGTCCGGATTAAATAATAGGGTACTTTTTATCCCAGAAATTTGATGTTTCCGAGGGAAAACAAAAGTATTGGTATAGATGGCGCTGTGTGTATTGGTATATGTCACATAGGCTACTTTTTATCCTTTTGTGACGCGAGCGAAGCCGCGGGTAAAAGCTAGTAAATAAATAAATAATTATAAAGTGATGAAAAGTAGGTCGTGGCATAAGCAATTAGCTTTTACGTGACCCGTAGTACACGTATCAAAATCTTATTATTTTTCTTTATTCTTCTTTCTCTCTTGCTTAGTAAATAATTTTTCTTTTTCTCTTTCCAGAATGGTGGTCGTGGACATCGTAGTACAGATAATAATCTATAGCACTTTATTCTGGTGGTTCATGAAATTAAATTGCGTACAAAACCTGATTTCTGTAATATACAACAAATAAATCTGTACAAATTACCAAATCTAGCAATAAAATGTAACTAGGAAATAAATTGGTTTGTTCAACCTCGAGGCTTGTAGAATAAATGTGTCATAATTGAGTGTTTATTTATTTGATTAAAACCTTCATCAACAGCCTACAAATGCCCACTGCTGAGCAAAGCCTCTTCTCACCCAGAGAAGGTATGAGCATTAATTACCACGCTCGCTCAATACGGGTTGGTGATTTCAAACTTATAAGTAGAAATTATAGTTAAGCCTAGGTTTCCTCACGATGTTTTCCTTCACCGTTTGTCAGTGGCGTCTGAATAATCTTAGAAAGTACATATAACTCGGAAAAAGTCACATTGGTACTTGCCGTTGGTAGGTTACGAACCCGCATCCTCATGCATGAGTAGTGGGCGTCTTAAGCGTATGTACGTAACCCCGTTGAAATCCAATCCCTAAATTTGGTCATACAAAAGTAGTCTCTAAACATTGGAAATAAAGTCTATAATGTAATGTAATATTAGGGGAGAGCGGTCACCGGTGACCGCTTGGGGATCTATGGGTTTTCTACATTCCGTGTATGTAACGTATGTCGTGGTAACCCGGAGGTTTAAGACAAAGAGTAGGTATATTAAGTATAGATTAAAACCTATTTATGTTAAAAGTTGCGTGTTTCCGGCTTACTCACGTAACTGTTTGACGAGATACTCGACTAGTTTTAAGCCATGCTAAAGGCTCATATTCATGAGCAGCATTCCTCCCGCGACGCGGCGTCTGTCGCGCTGCTACTGGCTACTCGAGTGTGCTGCGGTACGGGCCCTACACGTCGAAGATGCATTGCATGCATTAGCAGACATGTAGACTACAATTTAAAACGAAATAGGTTTATCAAAGAACGCTGTTACCCACTCTGTACCACGTACCACGCTGGTACTCACCCCCTATTACATGGGACTTATAACATAAATAGTGAAAAGTGGGTGTTGTATTACGAGGTTTGTATTACGAGTCCCATGTAATAGGGGGTGAGTCTATTGTCGTATACCTTCTTTTTATAAATTGACTTCTGATTTATTTCGTTGCAAGATCCAAGACAGTTACTCATGTCCCTGGGACGCGCGGGACTTCAGTGTTCCGGTGTTTTCATGGTTGTATCTACTTCAGATGCTGGTTTACAGCAGTTGCAACTGCTGAGTTGTTACAGAATTTACTACATTTTATAGAGGATCTGAAAATATTTTATTTTTATATAACTATTTGGTAGACCAACGTTGGATCACTATCTGGCCTGGTGGTAAGCGATGATGCAACCTATTCACTCGGATCTTTAAGACTTGCAACCTAAGACTCCTTTCAGGAAATACAGACTCGGGCAAAGAATACCACTCGTTAGCAGTACGTACAAGAAAGTTTGATGCGAAACGCATCGTGTGTATGGGACATCTACCATGAATCGGTGACCTGTGGTACGATGATGGAAAGGACTAGGGGGAATCAAATTGTGCAATTCCCCCGCACACTCACCGAAACGTAACCGGTAGAATACCGAAAGGCTTGCAACCTTGTGCCTGTGTTCGAAGCTGTGAAGCCGGGCCTGCACAAGCGCATCATCGTTGATGAGCTTCTTGCCACGCCTCTCAATGTGCTGTAATACGTCTAGTTGATATTTAGCCGAGCCGAGCCGTCCCAAAGATGAGAGCAGTACTCCATACAGGACCGAACCTGTGCTTGGTATAGGCTCAGCTATTGTTTCTTAGTTAACATTGCAAGGGTTAAATTGAAATTAAAAAAACAAACATTCAATTTTTACACTTTTTATTCTAGTAACAAACCTCAGAGGTGAAAAGCAACTTATGACCTAGATTTTAAAGATTTGAAATGCATGACTATTGATAAAAAAAATTAAGTGTAAAATCAAATATAAAAAAAGGATAAGAAAATTGAAGTAGTAGTGATGCACATTGCTCACGCAGAATCAATGGACGTATGAGTACTGTATTCTAAAATGTAGAAGTTGTATACCAAAAATAGGGTAGTTTCCTAAATGGCCCTTCTTTAATACATATATCGCCTGATATCGCCAATCTGGTCACTATATGTTCGTCTAGGGCGCCCTCTACCGACGGCCCCATTCATATCCGCTCTGTATACTTCTTTTGTTATTCTACTTTCATTCATCCTTTCTACATGTCCAAACCAGCGTAACATTCCCTTTTTAATCCCTGTCACTACACCATATTTCAATTCACACTTTTATCTAATAACACTATTTTTCACTCAATTTTAGTCCACACATACTTCTCAGGGCTCTCATTTCCACCGCCTTTCATGCTTCTTCTGCCACACCCATGAGGGTTCAATATTAGGTTCATATCTATTTTTGTACATAATGTGTATAGAAACACTGTTATTTACTGATGACACACTATGACCTAGTTAGAACAATAATTCTTTTATAGCTGAAACAATGTAAGTAGGTACTTACTTAAAATTCACAAATGTGTATCGTCCTGAGCTAATGTTCACATGTAAACAGCAGCTCATGTAGTGTAGATGTCCAGTCAACAAGGATGTAGCGAGGTTGACTGTCCAGGCGACACACGTACTTAGGTATCGTCATGAGCTAATGTTTACGTGTAAACAGCAGCTCATGTAGTGTAGACGTCCAGTTAACAAGGATGTAGCGAGGTTGACTCCAGGCGACACACGTACTTAGGTATCGTCATGAGCACATGTAAACAGCAGCTCATGTAGTGTAGATGTCCAGTCAACAGAAAGGTCAATGGTTGCAAAAACAATTCGATGTACAGGCATGATGACATACGGATGTATACAATTTGATGTTTTTAAACAAAAATAAACATGTCGAATAATGTCTTTGTGTTTTATTTGGCAGGTCATTCACGTCTCGAATACCTACTCTTGATTTTATACAAAATAAGTAGGTCGTAGTATTTCACATATAATCTATACTAATATTATAAAGCTCAAGAGTTTGTTTTTTTGTTTGTTTGTTTGAACGCGCTAATCTCCGAAACTACTGGTCCGATTTGAAAAAATATTTTTGTATTGAATTTTGAAGCCCTTTTATCGAGGAAGGCTATGATATATCATATCATATTAATAGGTTCAAATTCCTAAGGCTCCTCAGCTGGCTGTGGCAAGCTCAGGATATTGGCGCAGCCAGTTATTGCAGCCAATCAACGTCTACTCTAATAAAGTTCTAAATACCAAAACTCACCCTTTTAAGTGTGGGAGAGCCATGGTTGCCGGCTCGACTGGAGTGATACCACGGCCTCACAGAAAACCGACGTGAAACAACGCTTGCGTTTTGTTTCGTCGTTTGAGTGAGGTTACCGGAGGCCCAATTACCCCTCCCTAGTCTTCCGAATCCTCCACAATCCTCAAATGCCCAAAAGGCCGGTAACGCACTTGTAACGCCTTGGTGTTTCGGGTGTCCATGGGCGGCGCCGATTGCTTACCATCAGGTGATCCGTCGTCTTCGCTCGTTTACCGACTTATGCTTTAGAAATAAAGCATAAGTCTGCTGTCAGTCAATCGGCTGGCTGCGCGCAGCCAGCCGATTGACAGCCGTGCATAAGTGCATTGTATTGGCCACTGCAGCCAGGAAGTCGTGGTTGTCTATTACGTGGGTTCCTGTACAACATCATATGTTGTACTGGCTGCCTAGTGTACGTGGAGCCTAAGAGAACACTGCTATCCGCTATAAAAATGGACACCACTGATGTGTTGGCGTTCTGACTAAGTCCTTTGTTTAGCAGTGGACGTGTCCCAGGTGATGATGATGATGATGATGGTGTTGTCTGATATTTGTCAAATCTGTAGTCCTTTTAGCGACTGACATGATTCGTCCAAGAAGAGGAGGCCCGGAGAAAACTGTATTCAACTTTCAGTTTTATAGCAGTAATCTGCGAAACTACTGCTTTGAATTAAATAATTCTTTTTCTATTGCACAGTCCATTTATCGGAGACGACTTTTTTTAGTGAGGCGGGAGGGAGTGTCAGGCTCTTACTGACTAAAAACCACCCCGTTCCTTCTCCTGCACGTCGAGCCGGAGCCCTGGTAACCCGTTAGTTTCTCCGCGACTCCGTATCGGCATCAGCCCTGTTGGGCCCCATCCGTGGTGGTCTGATGGCTCTTTGAGGCGTGCCCGGAACGTTACGCGCCGTACGCTCGCTGTTTCTGGTCGGACCCCCGTCCGCACTCCGAGCAGCTACCCATGCTCGCCATCTACAGGCCCGCGATCCCCGACGCCCGGTGTATCCTTCGCGATGGCAGGGTTGCGAGGAGGCAGCGCTTCGCTGCTTCACTCCTCCTAAGCTAGCATAACTGCATCGCAAAAGGAGGAGACGGCATCCCAGTCCCCCTCGCTGCACATCACGAACTGCAATAAAACATCACGCTACGATTAATAGGAACCGAGAATGAAATAAGATTAACTAGTTTAAGTATAAAATGGCTTCAAGCTGAAAGGTCATTGCTCCATTGTTTCATGACCGAAGTATAGGTTAATTTAATTCTAACAATGACGAAAGTAATTCTACGTGCGTTTGTATGTACGTACTATAAATAAATATGCTTAATAGGTAAAGGGTCTTTTTGTCTGTCTGTTTGTATCTATATTTAAAAACAGAAGTACCTACCTACTTTGGCCTGATTTTTCATTTTTCATCCGTAAATTTTTTATTGTACCTCTAGAATAAAATTGACATTTGACAGTTTTAATAAGGACGAAATGTCAAATTTTCAAAGTTATTGCTCAGTTAAAATTCATCTGGCGTTGGAAAAGTCGGCCAGCCCCCCTCGATTGGAGTGAAACAACAGCCTTAAAGAAAACCGACGTGAAACAACGCTTGTATTGGATTTTACCGCATGAGTGAGGTTATCGGAGGCCCAAAATCTAACACCAAAAACTCTGAATCCCAAATTCTCAAATCTCTAACCCCCAAAAGGCTAGCAATTCCTTTGGTATTATGAGTGTACTGTACATGTAG